AGAGAATTGCAAAGTTAGTGCATTATGCCACTGGTTTTGTTCTTTTCTGTAATGTATGACAGAGGCCAAAAGTGTACCCGGCAGAAACAGCTATTTTGAACAAATGCCTTTTTCTAAGTGTTGCTCAGATGTACCAGTTAGTTAGCTGGACAACTAAATACAGTATGGAGAAAATGTGGAGCCCACTTCAGTTTAGGAAATGAACTTTAGAAACTTCCATTCTAAAACATTACTAAGTAGACTCACAATACAACAGCATATAATCACTAGAGGACCATTTTCTTATTACTTGAATACTAAATTAATAACTTATCTTTTTATCTGAGTCATAAAGTATCTTTTTGCAAAAGAACAGTTACAGACAAAACCTTACATAAAAGAGGTTAATTTGTTAAGTCGAATTATTAGTCTTGAACCCAATTACCTGCAGTAACTGCTTTCCTGTAAGTAAGACTGATCATGAGCTGGTAATCACGGAAGCTGAGTAGGAGGTACATGGGTATTTAGTATGCCCTCTACTTTTGAATAATTTGAAAATTCAATTATGAAACATTAAAAAACAAACAAAAAACATTTCTCAGCAGAATGTATATACAATTTGAAAGACTGCATATTTTCTCCGAAATCCTAGGTATAGGATGCAGTACAAAGAAGTTCCCCAAACTTGTTAATCTACACACAGAAAAAATTTCATCCCTCATACGTTTTTAGAAAACAAACCTCAAGTTACACACATACATGTGACTATATGTATGTATGTATGCATGACATATGTAACAGGACACCTGTACTCATGAGAGCAAAACACAAACCAACCTAAGTATGTAATTCCCACTAGAATATAAACTCCTTGTGGGTAAGGATCTTGCTTGTCTTGCTCTTTCTTTCCTATTGTTCAACATAATACCTGATACATAACAGCATTCAATAAATATTTGTGGAATTAATAAATGGTTAGATCAAATCAACAAATGCTGTTAAAAGTGTCTTCCTAGGGCGTCTGTATCTATTTCTTAATCGGCACTGAGAGCAGCAATTTTGAAAAAAAGCAGAACCTGGAAGGCAGGCTCTGTGATATTACGTGCCTCTCCTATAGTCAGTTTCCTCCTTTGAAAAAGAAGGGCAATACCTTACCTCAGTGCTGTTTTAAGGATTAAGTAATACATGTAAAACATCGCCTGGTACAGTGCCTGCCACTTAAAGGAAAGGTGCCTTTCCTTTGCTCTTTCTCTGATTCAGATTTTTATTTATTTTTTATTTTGTTATTGTTATATACAATCACATGAGCAATATCATAGTTACTAGATTCCCCCCATTACCAAGTCCCCCCCACATACCCAGTCACAGTCACTGTCCATCAGCATAGTAAGATGCTACAGAATCACTACTTGTCTTCTCTGTGCTGTACTGCCTTCCCCGTGCCCCCCTCTGCTACATTATGTGTGCTAATCGTAATGTCTTTGATTCTTATTTTACTGGAAACTGAGAATAGTTAAAATGATAAACTTAATATCTAGGCTAGGACACAGCATTTAAAAATATTTGGAGTTGGAAAATTCTAGGTGGATAAGTGTATATCAGATTCCATAAGTTTGCACAGCTACCAACTGACAAAAGGCAGCCTTGAAATCCTGGTGTCCCACACGATATTTATCTTTTGAAACTAGCTAACTTTCCAAATCACAACAGACAATTCTATCCTATTTATGAATTTCTAAGCATGAATACTCCAGAGGGTTTTACTCTCTCCCCCCACTGGATGCTACAGCATTCATTAAGCAATTAAGATATATTCTAGGCCTTTCTGCTCTGTTCTAGCACCATCCTAGCTGTACCCCTCATTACAACTGCTCAGGAGAACTCTAGAACTCTTCATCCATGCCCCAACTGTTTGCTGTGCAGGACACTTGAGGTGAGACTCACTCAGAGGCCCCGCCTGCCGGAAGAGCACCTGTTCTCCACCGGGTTGACAGTGTCAGGGAGGCGGGAGAGCGGCTGCTTGCCAAGTGGTGCAGCAGAAGGCTGGGTGGGGGCGAGAGGCTGTGCATATAGCTGGACAGCACAGTGACGCTCTGTCTACTCTTCTGCTTGTTATCAACCATGTTTAGTCTGAAATCTCAAAGAAATTTAAAGGAGAGCTTGAGGCAAATTTACATTTATTAGAAAGCTTTCAAGAGGCTGTGAACACTGACCCCATCCTCATCTGTAATATGGGGAGAAAGATGGTATTTACTTTGTAGGACTTGCAAAGATTAGCTGAGTTAATATGCGTAAGGCTCCTGCAAGTGCCAAACAGAGGAGAGTCCCCACTTTGCTAGCCTCTCCTTTTGGGCCCCAACTCCTTGCACAACATCTTTATCAAAACTTGTAGAGTAGTGTTTCTCAGTTATTTGCTTAACATACCACCTCCATGAGACTGGAGCTATTTAAGGACAAACACTGGATCTTAATGATTGCTGTGGACTCAGTACCCAACACTGACCTTGGCAAGATGTAGGTATATAATAGATGTTGGCTGAATTAATAAGCAGATTAGGGAAGCTGTTAAAAGTATTAGGTATGCTTGGTCCAGCAATTCCACTTCTGGGTATACATCCAAAGGAAAACGAAATCACTATTCCAAAGAGATAAGTTCACTGCAGATTATTTACAGTGGGAAAGGCATGGAAACAACCAAAGTATCCACTGATGGGTCAATGCATAAAGAAAATGTGGCACACTAAAAAAAAAAAGTCTTAGGTATGGTGGAGAATTAAACATACCCCTGTGAGGTTTGAGACAATTTTAGAAGCACAGGAATGCTTCATGACCTCAGCTGACAATCCTGGACTTGTAGTTTTATAATAACCATCTAAAAAATGCTTATGTTTGCAGAAATTGACAAACTAATCCTAAAACGCAAATGGAAATGCAAGGGATACATAACAGCCAAAACAATCTTGAAAAAGAAGGTAGTAGACTCACACTTCCTGATTTAAAAAAAAACTACAGTAATCAAGACAGTGTGCCACTAGCACAGAATAGAGAGAATGAGCAATGGAACAGAACCTAGAGTCCAGAAATAAACCCTAACATTTACAGCCAATTAACTGATTTTTAAAAGGGACCAAGAAAAATAGCTTTTCAAAAAATGGTGCTGGGAGAACTGGATAGCCACATGCAAAAGAATAAATTTGGAGCCTACCTTATATCATACAGAAAAATTAACTCAATGGATCATAGACCTAAATGTAAGACCTGTAACTATGAAACTTAGAAGAAAACCCAAGAGTAGATCTTCATGATTGTGGGTTAGGTAATGATTTCTCAGTTAACACACCAAAGCACAATGATAAAAAAGAAGACTGATGAGCTGGACTTCATCAAAACCAAAGCTTCAAAGCACGACATCAAGAAGTGAAAGACAACCCACTGACTGGGAGAAAATATGTGCAAGCCATCTATCTGTTAAGGGATTTGTATTCAGAATATATAAAGAATTCTTACAACTCAAATGATAAAATGACAAAAAACCTAATATAAAAATGGGCAGAGGGTGCACTCCCTCCCCCTGTTCCTTAAGTGAGGGCTGTATGTACTGACTTCCTTCCAGAGCACAGTATAGAAAGGGGAAGCAAAGGACACCATCAGCAGAACAAAAAGGCAAGCTGTGGGCAGGATGGAAGGATATATTAGTAAACAACTCGTCTGATAAAGGGTTAATATCGAAAACATATAAAGAGCTCATATGCCTCAACACCCAAAAAAACAAAATGACCTGATTAAAAAATGGGCAGACGACCTGAACAGACACTTCTCCGAAGAAGAAATACAAATGGCCAACAGGCACATGAAAAGATGCTCCACATCACTAATCATCAGGGAAATGCAAATTAAAACCACAATGACATAAGACCTCACACCAGTTAGAATGGCCACCATCCAAAAGACAAGAAATAATATATGCTGGCAAGGTTGCAGGGAAATGGGAACCCTCCTACACTGTTGGTGGGAATTTAAACTGGTGCAACAGCTGTGGAAAGCAGTATGGAGGTTCCTCAAAAAACTAAAAATAGAAATACCATATGACCCAGTAATTCCACTCCTGGGAATTTACCCTAAGAATGCAGGAGCCCAGTTTGAAAAAGACAGATGCACCCCTATGTTTATTGCAGCACTATTTGCAATAGCCAAGCTATGGAAGCACCCTAAGTGTCCACCAGTAGATGAATGGATAAAGAAGATGTGGTACACATATACACAATGGAATATTACTCAGCCATAAGAAGGAAACAAATCCTACCATTTGCAACAACATGGATGGATCTAGAGGGTATTATATGCTCAGTGAAATATGCCACATGGAGAAAGACAAATATCAAATGATTTCACTTACTTACGGAGTATAAAAGCAAAGCAAAACAGAAGGAACAAAATAGCAGTAGATTCATATATACCAAGAAGGAACTAGTGGTTACCAAGGGGGATGAGTTGGGGTAGGAAGGTGTGGGGAGAGTAAAGGGGATAGAGGTGCACAATAATTCACAACTATAATATAAGTTGGTCACCACACTGTAGTACAGCAGGGAGAATACAGTCGTGATTCTGTAACATCTTACTACATTGATACATAGTAACTGCACTAGAGCCGGTAAGGATTTAATAACATGGGTAACTACTGAAGCACTGTGTTGCACATTTGAAACCAAGAAAGGATTGTATATCAATGATACTTTAATAAAAAAGGGGGCAAGGGAAGTAACTTTACAGTGCAGAAAAACCTGACAAGCACTCCTTCATGTTTGTAGTATGTGCCTTTTATGTGATGAAAATGGCACTTTTGTGTGGTTTTCCTCCCTCAAGTCCATAACCCTGTCTTATGAGAAAAACATTAGACAAATTTCCAGTGGAGAGGCATTTTCAATAGACCTGACCAGTACTCCTCAGAACTCTCAAGCCTTCCCAAAACAAGGGAGTGTGAGAACTTCTCACCCTAGAAGTGCCTAAGGACACATGAGGACTAAATGCAGTGTGGTGTCCTAGATGGAATCTAGAACAGAAAAAGGTTACACAGGTAAAAACTAAGGAAATCTGAATAAATTACAGGCTTTAGTTAATAGTAATGTATCAATATTAGTTCGTTACCTGTAACAAATGTACCATACTGATATGTTAATAGAGAAAACTGAGCTTGGGACAGCCGGGCTAATGTAAACTCTCTGTGCTATCTGTTTAAGTTCTCAGTAAATCCTAAACTGTTCTGAAAAATAAAATTATTCATTTTCTTTAAAGTAAATGAAACAAGGGAAAAGGATTTAAATAGACATTTTCCCAAAGGTACATAAATGGTTAATGAATACATAAAAAGGCTCAACTTTCATAGTCACTAGAGAAATGAAAATCAAACCACAGTAAGATACCACTTCACACCCGCTAAAATGGCTATAATTCAAAACAATTTTATATTTTATAAAACCAAATTAAAGATTTCACATCAGCAATTAAGGGTCAATACACATTGTCAACAGGGACTCACAGAAAAAGTGGGATGCAAACTATTGTCAAAAATAAGGCGTGGTTCCCCTATATTTATCGCAGCACTTTCTACAATAGCCAAGATATGGAAGCAACCTAAGTGTCCATCAGTAGATGAATGGATAAAGAAGATGTGGTACATATACACAATGGAATACTATTCAGCCATATGAAAGAAACAAATCCTATCATTTGCAACAACATGGATGGAGCCGGAGCACATTATCTTCAGTGAAATAAGCCAGGCGGAGAAAGACAAATGCCAAATGATTTCCCTCATTTGTGGAGTATAACAATGAAGCAAAACTGAAGGAACAAAAACAGTAGCAGACTCAGAGACTCCAAGAAGGGACTAGTGGTTACCAAAGGGGAGGGGTGGGGGAGGGCGGGTGGGGAGGGAGGGAGAAGGGGACTGAGGGGTACTATATTTAGTATACCTGGTGTGGGGGATCACAGGGAGAACAGCGTAGCACAGAGAAGGGACACAGTGAATCTGCCGCATCTTGCTGCACTGATGAACAATGACTGCATTGGGGTAGGGTGGGGACTTGGACTTGATAATATGGGTAAATGTAGTAACCACAATGTTTTTTCACATGAAACCTTCCTAAGAGTATATATCAATCGTACCTTAATAAAAAATTAAAAAAATAAATAATAAATAAGGTGTGGTTTGGTAACCAGGGGTCTTCAAGTACATGGGCAATATCAAGAATTTCCATATATAAGCCCACATTGTAAGACAGGGACCTATCTTTACATTTTACAATGCAAAATGGAAACTGAACATTAATAGTGTGTGTAATAAGTGGAGAAAGGAAAATATTTGAGAGAAATAAATACCGTGGCTCCTCAGACAGTCTTCAGGGAGGTCCGTGCATGAAAGGTCTTGGGCCGACTGCATCAGGAGGGCCTCCTGCAGGAAGAAAATCCAGCGGTCAGGCAGGATGCAGAGACAGCTGAGCTAACGACGCACATTACCCTCTGAGAGACGTCTCTATGGCTCTCAGAAATTTGCTAGCAGTCCCAAGGATTGGGAACTGAAGGAAACTGCAAATCTAAAGAAATAAAATGAATTAAAAACAAACAAACCCTTCCACTTCTCTAGAATTTGAGCTTGAGAAGCCAAGTTTCCCAAGGTCCAGACAGTAACAGTGGTTTAAAAGGTTGACCTGAAGATCCAAACAAAACTCTATTCTTTAAAACCTTCTGAATCAAGAAACAAAATGCGACAACGTAAGCCTAATTTCATCTGAAAGGAAAGTATCAGGAAATGGGATGCGTCTCGGTCCTAACCATTGCAGATATTATGTGCTTGTTTTCTCCCCCAACTTCTTAGAAGGGCTATTTTTCCTTTTCCTCTCCTGCTCCACACCAGGAGGGGACAAGGGAGAACACCAGCAGTCATAGCTAGTTTCTTCCGACAGAGGAGTCACAAAAAGGGGAAAGCGCACTGGCAGAATGTGCCTGTTGTGGGCAAATGGCTTGGAGTCTAGGAAGTACCGGTTCTTTCAGGTTTACCAGCCGTGAGACACCAATGCACCAAAGAGGATGGCTGCTCACACTAAGCTTTCCTTCTGGGCCACCTCTTTTCCGCTGCCCCAAGATTAAAACTTCTTTTTTCCACACTGGTGTAATTGGTTAAGTATGAGTTTCTAACAGCACTCATCTAAATGTACAGAGAGTGAAATCATTGCTACAACTTTTGATAATTTTTACAGCACTTAAACAACAACAACAAAACAAGAAAAAGCCTTGTGAACTCTAAGCAAAGTTCTATGGTAGAAACAGAACCCAGGAGGGGGAGGGAAGATAAAATGAAGCAACACTGGAATTGAGAGATGAGGACTAGCATGGATGAAGAAGGACTATTCTTTCATTTTCTATTTGAACTCTAGTGTGGAATACTTCTGCAGAGCAGAAAACTTGAAAACAAGTATCTCCCAGATAACTCACGTGTAACACTACCATGTTTGGGGGGTGGGGGGGAAGAATTCTAGCATGATACTAGACCGCATTTGTTTGTAAATGGGGAGAAGAAAACGCCTTACCCACAGAAGGAATGATGGAATTAGAAAATCACCATTTGACCACCATCACAGTAATAATTATCTCAAGAAAGAATCATCAATGGATGTTAAAACTAGTGGCTAAAAAAGTTTGAATGAGGAATAGAAACATTTACATAGTCTCGAAATATCTCCCCTTAAGAAACTTGATAATTACAAAGGGGAAAACAGTAACTTCACAGTGGAGTAACCTGCAGACCCCACCTGAACCAAGCGATGGAAGTTCCCTCCCCAGGAATGAGGCTCCTCAAAGCCAGGCACCTCCTGACAGGATGCATGCGGAAGAGCCAGCATCACTTCTGTGGGATTCCTGCCCCCAAAATGCCTAACTGGCATCCAATCATGAGGAAACATCAGACAAATCCAAACTGAGGGAAACTTAATAAAATAAACGGCCTATAGTTTCAAAAGTGTCAAGATCATGGGCTAGGGAACTGTTATAGATTAAAGGAGACTAAAAATATGTGGCAACTGAGTGCCACAAGTGATTCCGGATTTTGCCTAGACCAAAAAACTTTGCTTTTCTTTTGCTATAAAAGACTTCAGTGGGACAACTGGCCAAATTTGAATATGGTCTGTGGATTAAATAAAAGTACTTGGATCAGCTAATTTTCTGATTTTGATTACATACTGAATATTCTTGCTTGCTGGAAAATACACACTGAAATATTTAGGCATCATGTCTGCAATTACACTTCCAAATTATTTAGACAAAAAAGCACACGTGGTAAAATGTTAACATGAGGAATCTGCATAAAGGGTATATAGGCACTCTTTGTACTATTTTTTAACTTTTCTGTAAAAAAAAAGAAGTCAAATTATTTCAGAATAAGAGATGAGGTAATTTGTAGTTAGAGTTGATCCTTTCTCCAAAATGATACTACTCTCTGCTTTTCCACTTCTCAGGCTGAATGTCAGGTTTAAGATTAGATGTTATTTAGAATATTTTTTCAAGTTAATACTTTATGGAAAAGGCAGAGCGCTGGAGCAAAAGATTATGGGATGAGGAGTCAGAGCTCTGTTCCAATCTCAGCACTCCCACCCACTAATTACACAGCACTGACAGCAAGCCTACAGGTGGGTGTAAGAGTAAGTGGGGACCACACAAACACCTAACAAGCTGTCCTGTGTGCACGAGAGCATGTTTCCTGAGAGAAGCTCCCACCACCCCATAGGCCATAGATTTTTATTACCTCTTTCTACGAGAAAAGCCAATAGGTAAAGCCAACATCACCAGTGGATCCCAATATCACCTGGAATGACTACCTTATGCTTTTCTGGGCCTACAAGAACCTCTGTAAAGTGAGAGTTGAGTTCAGATCAGCAACATATGGGTTCCCTCAGATTCCAAAGGACTCTGATGAGCATATACAATTAACCCTATTGGCTCTGGCCCCTGGAGGGGCTGCTGGAATTTCAGTCGTGCCCCACCTGCTGCTCTAAGAAGGAATCTTTAGCTGGAGTCCCCACAATACCCTGGTGAGTGCCAAGCAACTTCTTCATCCATTCACCCTTGTCCTAGGTTAGCCATGATTCTGAATAGAGGAGAGAAGCAGAAGCTAGGCCTAAGTGATTCCACTCTCCCCCTGGCCTTGCTAACTTCTCTTGAAAGGTTCTGAATTAAGAAAACCAAGTTTCCCCTCACAGAGGCCTGGAGAACCTAAAAGGTTTGAGACCTCAAATACGATCAGAGTTCACCGGGTTGAAAAGGAAACAGAGTGGGACGCTGAGGTCATATGCGAAGGACCACTCCCAGCTACCACCACCACGAGTGGTGGGTGGTCTCCAGATCCGGCGGGAGCTCTATCAGTCTGGGGCCCCAAGTGTGGATAAGAGGAACAGAACAGCCTATCTGCAAGCAAAGGACATGCAGCATAATGATTCATGTGTAACACTCCCCACGTCTTCAAGGCCAGCCCATCATATAATAAATACTTGCAGAAATTAACACATACATTTCCTTTTCCTACAATATTTTATCAGCTAAATGTTCTTTCAGGATTCCTAGAGGTAGAGTCCTAAACATTTTTCTCTACCATCTAGATTTTGTTAAATCTCGACATCTGATCATTAAGGTACTAACATTTCTTGCAAAATCTGTTTTGAATGAATCAACTTCTGAGACAGAAGTTCACATAGATCCCTCTCTCAACATCAAGTGAGATAATTGCTAAGGTTATTAGCATCTGTTAACTATATACATGAGCAATGCCCCATAATAGTGCAATCTGTTTTTCAAATTGACAGCAAACTCTGCTTTGCACATCCAACATGTCAGGCTCCTGCCCACGCTTGGAATCAAAACCAACTTTTGACATTTCTCCAGTGTTAGCAGATTTCAGGAGGGTCTTTAAACCATTCTTATTGTTCATCTGTAATCTTATTTCCCATTAAACGTTGGCTGTATGTCCTGGAAAAGATGAATTCTCTGATTCACTCCCATGAGACTAGTTTAGAGCAGGAAAAAAGTCATTATCTTCAAGAGGGAAATGAATATACACTGGGCTCCCTGGCTTTTATAAGCAGGACAGTTACAAGCTCCTCAAGGCCTGATGCATCTGGGCTGTAAACCTGAACGGTAAACAGACCCTGCTGAGCTCCCACTATGAGCTTCCTGAGTCGGAGACAGAGGTAGATGACAGGAAGGACAGTGATGGTCCCACTGCAAGATCTTTTCAGTGTCTTGCCAATGGGTTTCAGTCCCGGGCAAGTTCACTATGGATTCAATGTGACCAAAGAAATTAACAGCAAAACGTTCTTTGGGGAGAAAGGGTTTATTACCCAGCTTGTTCTCCCGGCGGCAGGTCAAGCACTAGCTCACCTCCACGCAGAGCACCGGGCCGAGCTCTCCACATAGCGCAGTAATAGCTTATTGCCTAAAGGTGTGGAAGCGGCAGCCCAGCAACAGGCCAGTTACATCATCAGGTGGTTTAAGTTCAGTGAGGATCCTGGTCAGAGGAACCCCAACTTACCCACACACACATATGCTTTTGACACACGCAATGACGGGGCCATAAGATGCAGCAAATGAGATACTTTGTACTTTCTGACTCTTGCGGAAAATACCATGGTTATGTTGATAGAGAAGAACACTGAAAATAAACCTCTGTATCTCTAGATGGATCTCTTAGTTTCCTACACATGCACATTTAGAAAGGAACAGCTGTAGAACAGTAACTTTAAATCATCCTGACAGAGCTTAAAAAGGAATTTCCTCCATGAAACTCAATTCAGACAAACAACTGATGATTCTAAATCAGGGACTGATCCTGTTAGCTGGGTGAGGCATTTAATAACATTCCCCAGCAATGAATTACCTAAAAGAACTGCTGCAATAATTAGGAGAAAGTTCTACCTTAAGTCTCAGCAATATGTCACTACTGCCTTGGGCACTTCTCCATCACACATTTTTATAAAACAGGAGATGAGAACTATGGTCAACCATCTCTGTGGGGACAATAGTGCCCTGGCAGTCCTGAAGAGCAGGTTACCGCCACCAATGTTGGCTACTGAGCATGTGAAGTTCAGGTATTTTTCACCTTTAAATCATGGAAAATAAATTATTTCCAACAAGATTTCTTTTTAAGCAAAACGCTCTCTCACAGTACTGTCAACTTCCCATAGGATCACAGACTCTTCAGGTGAGAAGAAAGCTTTATGGGCACTTAGTGCAACAGGCTTTCATTTAAGTGAAGAAATACAAATTGTATAAGACTGGATCTTTTATGAACATTCCATTAAAAAGCAAGTTTCTCCAACAGTATAAGCTGCTTCAACTGGTCAACTGCCATTGTGTTTCCTTACTTGATATCCCCTGTCCAGATATCTTCAAATATCTGTAAAAAAA